AGAGCCCTGGAACAGGCTGCCCAGGGAGGTTGTGGAGTCTCCTTCTCTGGAGATATTCAAGACCCGCCTGGACAAGGTCCTGTGCAGCCTGCTCTAGGTGACCCTGCTTCGGCAGGGGGTTGGACTAGATGACCCACAGAGGTCCATTCCAATCCCGACCAGTCTGTGATTCTGTGAGGGCTCCACAGCCTTCTTACAGCCCCAAAACATCACTGACCAGCAATAAAGCTTAGCCCAGGGCAGATGTGTTAACAACACCTAAATGCTGGAGTTGGGGTGACCAAAACTCCTCCGCTCGAGCCTAAGTTTGTCTGGCTCCGTTGCTCCCTAAGCGGCTCTGCCCATGCTGCCTTCCCCAGGGAGGTCTCTGAGCTGCGGTGGGTTCAACGGGAGTGGCTGTACCTGATGTAGTGGTAGAGGTCGTGCCAATTCTCGCCCTTCGGCACAGGGAAAGCCATTTCCCGCGGCATGGGAGCGACCCCGCGGCGGGCCAGGTCGGCTTGCCGGGCTTCGGAGAAGGTCACAGCTGGAAGCACAGAGATAAAGAGAGTGAGTCTGCAAGGCCCGCGGAGCTGCTGAAATCACACGTTTCCCTGGGACACGGGCACAAAACTCTTCCCTCTTTGAGAACACCTGAAAAACAAAATATACAGCCCTGAGGTCTGTAGCAAACCAACGCGCCCTCACAGAGGAATATTCCTGAAATTCTCAAGCTCCACAAAACACCCCAGAGCTTAAACGCTTGGTATCGAGTTAGAAAAAGTTGCGTCCCCATCCCTGGAGGTGTTCAAAAAACGTGTAGATGCAGCACTTCAGGACATGGCTTAGCAGCCGTGGTGGTGCTGGGTTGATGGTTGGACTTGATGATCTTAGAGGTCTTTTCCAACCTTAATGATTCTACGATTCTGAATCCCCCAGGCCCAAGATTCACTTCAGTGATTCCGCAGTTTCCCGTGATTCATGTTAAGGCCCTGTTCTCATGTTCCTGTCTCCTTTCCTTCATGCGTCTGGAACTTCATGAAAGACTTCAAGACGTAACAAATCCCAGGAACCTGAAAGCAGTGTCTCTAACTTCCTCCTCGCTGATGCTTTCCAGCAGGCCAAGTGGTTTGGGCAGGTTTCCAGCACAAAAAAAGAAAGGCAGAAACAAAGGTTTTGACCAAAGCACCTCTGGCACACTGAGCAGGTGGGTAAAAAAAGTAGGCTGGAAGATTCTGAAACAAAAAACCCTCAGGCTCTTCTGGCAGATAAAAGCACAGGCCTCGGAAAAGCGAGGCTTGGTAACACCTTTAATTTTTTTCCCCTAAAAAAAAAAACTCTAACCCTTCGTAAGGTGTTTAACTTTGCTCTTTACAGCTGAAAAATGAGAGGGCACTTTCCTCCAGAGGTCGGGAGATCGTATTCACCACCGCACGTGGAAACTTAACATCACACCAGGTATTTTGCCCTTTCTGCTTCCTACCGTACTGCAACAGTACCGGGGGCCTCGTGCTCTGCCAGGGCCAACGGCGCGGCCAGCACCACGTCTGCAAAACCAGCTTTAAGACCCCGCGGGTTCTGTCCGGGCTGTGCTGAAACCCCAGGAGCAGCCAGAGGCCACCACGAGGCCTCAGCTCCTCACCTGGGTCGAACACCAAGTCACTCGTGCAGAGGTTTTTCACCAGGAGGTTGGAGCAGAGCTTGACGCTCCTCAGGTGGCTGTAACGGCGGCTGAGGTAGAGCGAGAGGATGGTGGGGAGGTCGAGCACCAGGCAGGTCCAGCGCACCTCAGCAGGGGCTGCTCCCACGAGCTCTGCGGAGGAGAGCGGTGGGTGGCAAAAGGGAAGGCAGGAGAAGACGCTGCAGGCCTTGCAGAAGGGGACACGCGAGATTAATGCGGTCGGGTGAGAATTATTTGGAACTTCAGGCTCCCATCGGACTTAGCTTGTCTACGCCAAGATGGGAGACGGGAGAACGCCCCTCGGAGCCCGCTGCTGCAGCGCAGGGGTGGGGATGGATGGACGGACAAGCAGCCTCGCAGACGGGGACAGCCCTCCCGGGAGCTGCGGCTCTGGCCCTCCAGCTGCCCAGGGGCCCGGTCCCGACTGCGCCGCGAGCCGGAGCGGCAGCACTGCGCACGCTCCTCACCATGCCCGGACGTCCCAGCCGCGCCGCAGACGAAGGGGAACTGCAGCCAGGTGGCTGTGGCTCTGAACTCCTTGAAGAGGCTGGAGAAAGAGATGCGAACCACCTGGTTCTCCTGAGGAGACAGAGACAGGCGCAGAGCTCGAGTCACCCTGGTGGCGTCAGCAGGGAGACGCCACAGAGGAGAAGGTCCGTGGCTGTGTCCCCTGTCCCCCGCAGAGATACCACCAGGATGGAAACCATCTCCAGCCTGGGACAAGCTGCCAAAGCCCAGCCAAGCTCTGCACCCCACAAGCGCAGAACACCATAGCTGCCACCCTCTGGGTCCTTCAATGGGGCTATGACGCTAATGATGGTGGTTTAACGTGGCCACCCAGCGTCACGCCAATGACAGGGGTCTAATGCATCCGCCCCGTGTCACCCCAATGACGAGGGCCTGACGCATCCACCCCACATCATGCCAACGGCGGGGGTCTAACACGGCCACCCTGCATCACCCCAGTGATGGGGGTCTGACGCATCCACCCCGTGTCACGCCAACGACAGAGGTCTAAGGCACGCGCCCCATGTCACGCCAGTGATGGCGGTTTAATGCAGCTGCCCCGCATCACACCAACGACGGGGGTCTGCTGCAGCCACCCCGTGTCACCCCAATGATGGGGGTCTAACACGGCCACCCTGCGTCACCCCAATGATGGGAGTCTGACACATCCATCCCGTGTCACGCCAACAACGGGGGTCTGCCGCGGCCGCCCCTCGTCACGTACCGCGGTGGTGACGTCGAGGTGGACGGCAAAGTGCTTGCCCGCCACGGGCCTGAAGAGCAGGTAGAGGTAGCGCCCGGCCAGCCC